ATTCCAGCAGGTCGAGGCTGCGGTGGCCGGGACCAGCCACTACACTCCAGTCTGGGCAACAGAGTGAGACTCCAACTCAAAAAAAAAAAATAGAAAGAAAAGAAAAGAAACTCATTTGACATTCAATATCATCAGGCAAAATCTGCAATTTAGTCCTCTGGCTCGAAGGGGTTAGGACTGAGGTGCTCACTCTATCCCAGCTCTGCCTAACTCCAAGGGAATGGCGAGCTCAAAATACCACTGGAAGTTATAAAAGACAGTAGAGACAAGAGGATCACTTGAAACCAGGAGATCAAGGCGATCACAATGAGATATGATCGTGCCACTGCACTGCAACCTGGGTAACAGAGGGAGAACCTGTCTCTAAAAAATAAAAATAGCTGGGTGCGGTGGCTTATGCCTATAATCCCTGCAATTTGGGAGGCCAAAGCAAGAAGACAACTTGAGTCCAGGCGTTTGAAACCTACCTAGGCAACAGAGTAAGACCTTGTCTCTCTAAAAAAAAAAAAAAGTAAAAACATTAGTCTGGAATGATGGTGTGTGCCAGTAGTCCCAGTTTCCTAGGAGACTGAGGCTGAAGGATCACCTGAGCCCACTTGGTCAAGGCTGTGGTGAACTCTGATTGTACCACTGCTCTCCACCCTGAGTGACAGAGTGAGAACCCAACTAATAGATAGATAGATAGATAGATAGATAGATAGATAGATAGATAGATAGATAGATAGACAGATAGATAGATGGATACGTGGGTTTGCCACCAGCCTGGGCAACATGGTGAGACCTTGTCTCTACAATAAATAAAAAAATTAGCTGGGCAGGGTAGTGCATGCTTGTAGTTCCAGCTGAGGCAGAAGGATTGCCTGAGCCCAGCAGTTCAAGGCTGCAGTCACCATGAGCAGCATGCCACTGCCCTTCAGCCTGGGCAACAGAGTGAGATTCTGACTCAAAAAAAAAAAAAATAGATAAATGAATGAATGCATAAATAAATATACAAAAAGCTCAATTTTAAAAAGCTCATTCAACTAGATTTTCAGGATCCAGGGTATAAAACAGAGAGTTTACGAGATAAAGAACAGAGACAGCGGAAAATTTCTCTTCACATTACTAGAGTAGGAACATCAGAAGGTAACTATACACACGCTGTTGCACTTACCTGGGTTGTGGCACTTCATATTTGACATAGGAAAACTCTAAATTGGGGTGGGGAGTGGGGAGAGAGGAGTGAAGAGAAAATTAAATATGTCAGCCAGACTTTATAGGATGTTTCTAATCAAGTGTATCATTTCTGTCCTGACTTTCCCTAGAAGCTCCAGGTAACTCCTGCCTGTGTCTCTTTTGAGTCTTCAGAGCACATACACACCCTGTATGGTTCAGTATCTCACCTTCACTCACCATTTGGTGCATTCATCAACATTTCCTGACTTACTTTAATGCAACTGCTAAATTATCTTTAATTTTGAAAAGTGATGACATCCAGCATTGTTCTAATGGGCTGCTGGATAACAGGCAACAAGCAGGACTGTCCCAGGTGAACTGGGACACAAGGTCACACCAAGGGTCACCCTATCAAAGGATACTTTTGCAAGCTTGGCACTACAGTCATCTCCCTCCTAAGAGGGAACTAAAGAGTTGTTTTGGTTAGGGAAAAAGGCATATGTGAGGTTGCTGGAGCTCAGAAAATACCCCCATATATGCTGCTTTCAGGTTTCCTTCCTTCCTTCCTTCCTTCCATGTCTGAATCTCACTCTGTTGCCCAGGCTGGAGTGCAAGTGGCATGCTCATGGTCACTGCAGCCTCAACCTGCTGGACTCAGACAATCCTTCCACCTCAGCCTTCCAAGTAGCTGGAACTATAGGCGTGTACCACCACGCCCGGTCAAATTTTTTTAATTTATTGTAAAGACAAGGTCTTGCCAAGTTGCCCAGGCTGGTCTTGAACCCCTGAGCTCAAGCAATCCTCTTGCTTGGCCTCACAAAGTGCTGGGATTACAGGCTTGAGCCACTGCACCTGGCCCTAGCTCGGGTTTTCAACTGAGAACACCCAGGGAGCACCAAGTACAGGGAAGGGCTTTCTCAGGAGCTCTCCTGTCTACCTAAAGGCTGAATCTCCTGAAGACGTCCAATTGTTCTGAATCCATTCCCCAGATATGGCATCCACAGGGGGAAGCTGATGCTATCGCAGGAAGACTAGAGTCGACAACACACCCAGAGCCAGAGAAAATTGTTCCTTGCCATCTTCTTCACCCCAAAATCATTTACTCTTCCTTTAACACTGCCTACAAATCCCTACTTCCCTCTGCCCTAAGAAATCGTTGTTTAGGCCAGGCACAGTGGTTCACACCCGTAATCCCAGCACTTTGTGAAGCCGAGGCAGGAGGATCGCTTGAGCCCAAGAATTTGAGACCAGCCTAGGCAACAAAGAGAGATCCTGTCTCTACAAAAGTCAAAACCAATTAGCCAGGTGTGATGATGCATGCCTGTCGTTCCAGCTACTTGGGAGGCTGAAGGAGAAGGATGGCCTGAGCCCAGGAGGTCGAGGCTGCAGTGAGCCGAGATTGTCCTATTGCACTCTAGCCTGGGTGACAGAGTAAGTAAAGTAAAAAAGAAAAGAAAAAGAAATGGGTATCTAAGTTTCCACCATCTGCTCCTGCTATGAGCCTCATTTTGGTGTGTTCCCCATGCATATAGTAAATATGTCTTCCCTTTCTCCTATTAGTCTGTGGTCAATTTATTGCAGCGTACTAAATTGTGAAACCTACAGCAGGAAAGTTTGAACTTCCCTGCAAGGTATTTTACCATTTTCTTTTTTTTTTTTTCTGTAGAGTTTTTTTAAATTTGTATAAATCTATGGGGTACAAGTAAATTTGTTACATGCATATTTAGCATAGTGGCCACTTCGGAGCTTTTAGGGTATCCATCATCCGAATAATGTACATTGTACCCATTAAGAAATTTCTCATTATCCACCCTTCTCTCACCCCTTACCCTTTTCAGTCTCCATTGTCTGTCATTCCACACTCCACGTCCATATGTACATATATTTAACTCCCACTCATGAGTAAGAACATGCAATATTTGTCTTTCTGTGTCTGGCTATTTCGCTTACCATAATACCCAATTTCTAAATAATCCTTTTGACCAACCAAATTCTAAATAACGATGAGAAAATTTTTTATTTGTCAAACATACTATTAATTTTTAAACTCTCTTCTACCCAGACCCATGAAATGGATCAGTAATGGATTCAAATACAATGTCTTGCAAAATAGATAACTATGGTTCTTTAGTGGAGATGGGTTTTACAGAGAAGAACAAAAATATAAACACATGCACACAACTGGCAGAAGGGAAACATGAAGACTTGGGTGGTTGCTTTTGGAAGGCTTTTGTTCTTTTTTTTTTTTTTTTTGAGTTGGAGTCTCACTCCATCACCCAGGTTGAAGTGTAGTGGCACACACAGGCTCATAGACACCCCAGCATCGACCTGCTGGGCTCCAGCAATCCTTCCACCTCAGCCCTCCAAGTGGCTGGAACTACAGGCACGTGCTACCACACCCGGCTAATTTTTGATTTATCGTAGAGACGAGGTCTCGCCAAGTTGCCCAGGCTGGTCTCGAACCTGTGGGCTCAGGCAATCCACTCGCTTCGGCCTCCCAAAGTACTGGGATTACAGGCTAAGCCACCAAGTCTGTCCACCTTTTGTTCTAGTCTTAGTCTTGCCATTCACGTTCTCCTCCCCATGTCTCATGTGCCTCCTCTGCTGAAAGAGATACACATTACAATGACTTCTTGCCTTCAAAGTCATAATCCTCTCCAACAAACTCTTACTTCTTAACACAGTTGCCCTCAGTAGTCAGGGGTTCCACATCCTTGGGCTTAACTAACTGTGGAACGGAAACCCTTTTTAAAAACAATAAAAATAAGAATTAAAAAATATAGTCTAACAACAAGTTACATGGCATTTACACTGTATTAGATATTACAAGTACTCTAGAGATTATGTAAAGTATACATGGGAGGATAATAGTTTGGGTCTTATGAGGGACTTGAGTATCCCACAGATTTTGGTATTGAGGGGATCCTGGAAACAATCCCCTGAAAATATAGAGGAGGCCAGGAGTGGTGGCTCATGCCTATAATCCCAGCACTTTGGGAGGCTGAGGTGAGAGAATTGCCTGAGCTCATGGGTTCAAGACCAGCCCAGGTAACTTGGCTAGACCTCATCTCTACAATAAATCAAAAAATTTGCTGGGCGTGGTGGCGCATACCTGCCGTTCCAGCCACTTGGAAGGCTGAGGCAGAAGGATTGCCTGAACCTAAGCAGGTTGAGGCTGCAGTGGCTGTGAGCATGTCACTGCACTCCAGCCTGGACAACTCAAAAAAGAAAAAGAAAAGAAAAGAAAATACAGAGGAACAACTTATTTAACTTCTCTTGTGGAGAATTTCACTTGTCTCCTGGGGGCCAATAACTGAAAAATAAGGAACAAGTGTAAGAAACAGTGGTATTCAGTGAAAACTTCACTAGAATGTAAGCTCCTTGAGATTTACAGAGCTTTACGGCAAAAGGATCTGTTCTAATTACCATAATTACAGTGTAGGATTGCTGTGCACTTACTATGTGCCAGGCACCATTCTTGGAGCATTGTAGGAACTAAAACATTTAAACCTCACATCCCGCTTGGGGTGGATGGTATGACCATGTGCATTTTACAGATGAGGATTTTAGGATATAGGAAAGTCATGTGCCAACAAAATCACATGGTGTATAGACCTACTTGAACCCAAGCAGTCTGGCTGTAGAACCCCTTCCTAGTCCCTTAGGAACAACCTTGAAATGACTTACTTTTGTCAATGATGATAGCCAAAAGGACAATCAATACCAAGGCAGAAATACCAATTCCAGCATAGAGTATCTCAGTGGTGGTGGTCATCCAGGGATTGTGAGCTGTGGACATTAGCTAAGGAAACAACAGGAGATTGAAAACACATCTTGTTAGAGAGTTACAGAGAGAAAACATTTTCTAGGATAAGTTACTCAGTCACGTTTATCTTTATTGACTCTTTTTACTTCTGAAACATGAGCATAAGACCAAATATTGGAGGTTATAACCATATGGTGAAATTCTAGGTCAATTCTAAATTCAAAATATGATTTAGAAAGATAGAAATATTTATATCTTGCTTAGGGTGACATTTATATGAGTATACATTTCTCAAAACTAAAACTGGTCTGGGTGCCGTGGCTCACTCTTGTAATCCCAGTGTTTTGGGAGGACAAGATGGAGGATTGCTTGAAGACCAGCCTGAGCAACATAGTGAGACGCTGTCTCCACTCAAAAAAATTAGCCAAATGTGGTGGCGCATGCCTGCACTCAGGGCTATTAAGAAGACTGAGGCAGGAGGATCCCTTGAACTCTGAAGCTTGAGGCTGCAGTGAGCTATGATCAGACCACTGCCCTCCAGCCTGGGTGACAGAGTAAGACCTTGTGTCCAAAATAAAAATACAGGCAAGATCTCATCTCTACAATAAATCAAAAAATTAGGCAGGCATGGTGGCATGTGCCTGTAGTTCCAGCTACTTGGAAGGCTGAGGCGGAAGGAGCACCTGAGCCCAGCAGGTCAAGGCTGCAGTGGCCGTGAGCATGCCACTGCACTCCAGCCTGGGCGACAGAGTGAGACTCCAACTCAAAAATAAAATAAAACAAAAATAAAATAAAAATACACTAAAATGGTATGTGTAAAATGGTTTTCTACATATTACATGTAAAATTATACCTCTTTTAAAAGTCAATGGAGGCCAGGCATGGTGGCTCATACTTATAATCCCAGCACTTTGGGAGGCTGAGGTGAGAGGATTGCCTGAGCCCATGGGTTTGAGACCAGCCTGGGGAACCTGGAAAGACCTCATCTCTACAATAAATTTTTTTAAAAAGTAGCTGGGTGTAGTGGCACATGCCTGTAGTTCCAGCTACTTGGAAGGCTGAGGCAGAAGGATCGCCTGAACCCAGCAGGTCAAGGCTGCAGTGGCCATGAGTGTGCCACTGCACTCCAGCCTGGGCGACAGAGTGAGACTCCAGCTCAAAAAAAAAAGTTAATAGGGTATTTCCATAAATATGTTTTTGTTCATATGTAAGTTGACTTTATGTGGCATTATATGAATGTGCACAATTACTAAATTTGGCCCTTGAATTGTTTTGGTTCTTACTTGTTTTTTGACTGTATTTCAAGATTCCATGTTTATGTAAATGAACTTGATTTAAAGTAGCTGCTCCAAGAAAATGGCGGCCGAGCCAGTCGGACTATGTGAGTTCCCATGTGAGTGAGTGAGTGTATGGAAAATTTTGTGTAAGTGCTGGTGAGCGAGTGGGTGTGTAAGTGGCTGACTGAATGAGGGCTTGGGAGCTAGCAGCCAGGGCTCTCCTGGTGCAGCGACTGGTGCCACAGCAGCTAGGCTTGGACCCTAGTGATTGTTGGGATACAGAAGCTGAGCACCATTTTCTTTTTCTTTTTTTTCTTTTTTTTTTTTTAAGATCAACAAACCCTCCCTGGGAAGAAAATGCTGGGAGAGACTGTCTAAGTAGGGCTCGTGAGTGGGTGACCAGGCCCCTGTTCCAACAGCTGGTGCTGCAGCTTCTGTATGTCATCCCTGGCTCTTCCCAGGTCACAAAAGCTTTTTTTTTTAATGGACAGAAGTTTTCCTTTGAAAAAGCGGGGGCAGTGGAGAGAGAAAACTATTGACCCAGGCAGGCTCTCCCTCACCATTGAAGCAGGAGAGAGACTGCCGGCTCCTGGCTTTGCCTTACCACTTCAGCACCTGGCAGGGCAGGTGGGGGGAGTCCAGAGGAAAGTTCCCAAGGAAGAGGACAAGAGAGGCACCCCACCACTATCTTGAAGGTGGAGCAAGAAAGCACTCCAACTTGCTCACCATGGAGTAACAGACCTGATCACTGTGAGTGGTGGATCAACTACTCAGGGATTGATCATGGCCCAAGGGAATATCTTGAAAGTACAAACTTCAGAGGGATTTGACAAGTGCTGAGTTCCAGGTGCCCTACTCCCTACTCTGATCCAGTGTTGGGACAAGTGGGACAAAGGGTATGGTCAGAAAAGGACTATGAAGAACTACAAAGAGATCAGTGCGCCCCATTCCCTACTTTATTCAAATTTCAAAAACTACAAGAGACAGCAAAGCTTCCCGTCCACCATCCTATTTCAAAACAGAACAAATCCAGAGCCCGAATCAGAGAAGAATAGAGGACTGAGCAAACATCAAAAGGGAAAGCTTCTCCCACTGACACTGAATAATAGAACTAAAGATAAAAACAAGAGATCTATCACAAATTAGGAAAATCCAAAGGAAGACCTCAGGCAATTTCAAGTGTACCAAAGGCAAAATTTCTGAAAAATCAGACCTTGGTGCCCAAACAATGGAAGTCACCAAAAACTGGCCCCAGAATACAACAGGGATTAGGGAATGGATGGAAAGAGTGAATATGACTCAAGAAAGACAAGATACAACACTGAAAGAACTTGTAACAGAGATTTTGGCAATAAAAAATTTCACCCAGGAAATAAATAACAAGATGACAGGCATGGAAAGCTGAATTAATCTAGCTGAAGAAGGAATCTCAGAACTTGAAGACCAGAACATGGAATTAACCCGATCTGTAAAAAACGTAGAAAGAAGACTAAGAAAGAAAGAACAAAGCCTACAAGAGATGTGCAATTATATCAAGAGGCCGAACCTATGCCTGATTAGTATCCCAGAAGAAGAAAGGGAAATGGAAAACAACTTGGAGCAAGTATTCCAGGAGGTAATCCAAGAAAACATTTCCAGACCTCACCAGAGATGTGACCAGTCAAGCATAAGAGATACAGAGAACCCCCACAAGACATCGAAGAGAAGACCAACCCCTAGACACAACTCCTAGACCAACCCCCTACATAAAGTAGGCACAAAAGGAAAAATCCTAAAGGCAGAAAGAGAGAAAGGTCAGACTACCTACTGGGGAAAACCAATCAGAATAGCAGCAGACCTATCAGCAGGAATATTACAAGCAAGAAGGGACTGGAGCCCTATATTCAAAGTCCTCAAAGATAAACAATTTCAATCCAGAATGTCCTATTCAGCAAAGCTCAACTTCATCAGTGATAGAGAATTAAAATCCTTCCCAGAAATCCAATCTCTAAGAGATTGATTATGCAGCTTCCTGACCAACTCTACAGGACACACTGAAAAAGGTATTAAGCACAGAAGAAATAAAAAAAAATGAATGACCACACACTTCCCAAGAGAACTGCAGAGCACAGACTCAACAGAGAATACAGCACAACAAGAAACTTGAAACCACACATATACATTAAACCCAAAGCCAAAAGAAAGCAAGCAAAGAAAAAACTTTATAAGAACCTCATGAAAGCAATGAACAATCACATTTCAATAATCAGCCTGAATGTGAATGGACTAAATGTACCACTGAAAAGACACAGAAGGGCAAACTGGATAAGAAACCATGATCCAATTATTTGCTGCATCCAGGAGACTCCTCTCACTATAAAAGAGGCACACAGACTCAAATTTAAAGGATGGAAAACAAGTTTCCAGGCAAATGGACAACAAAAGAGGGCAGGAGTTGCAGTCTTAATATCAGACAAAACAACCTTTAAGCTATCAAAAATTTAAAGAGATGCGAAAGGACACTACATAATGATAAAAGGTTCAATCCATCAACAAGAAATATCCATCCTAAACATATATGCACCCAACACAGGAGCACCAGCATTTAAAAGCAACTACTAAATAAACTAAAAAAAGACATGGACTCTAACACTATTTGAGCAGGGGACTTGAATACCCCACTGACAGCCCTAGATAGATCATCAAGGCAAAAAAATCAACAAGAAGATCCAGAACCTAAACTTGGCACTTGACCAAATGGACTTAATAGATACCTACAGATTATTCCACCCAACAACCACAGAATATACATTCTACTCATCACAACATGGAACATACTCCAAGAATGATCACATCCTTGGCCATAAATCAACCATAAACAAATTCCATAAGATTGAAATCTTGCCATGCACATTCTCAGACCACAGTGGAATAAAAATAAATATCAACACCAACAACATTTTCCCAAAGCCCACAAAAACAAGGACACTAAACAGCATGAGACTGAAAAACTACTGGGTCACCACTGAACTCAAAGCAGATATTAAAAGATTCCTGGAAACAAATGAAAATGAAGAAACATCTTACCAAAACCTCTGGGATGCCATGAAAACAGTTCTAAGAGGGGAATTTATATCTCTATGAGCACACATCAAGAAAACGATAAGATCACAAGTAGAAAGCCTAACAAATCACCTAAGGAAGCTGGAAAGAGAAGACCACCAAAACCCCAACTTTAGCAGAAGAATCCAAATCACAAAACTGAGAGCCCAAATATGGGACATAGAAAACAAAAACATCATAGAAAACATCAACAAAACAAAAAACAGTTTTTTTTTAAAGAATTAATAAGACTGATGGGCCCCAGCCAGAATGACCAAGAAAAAGAGAGAAAAGGCCCAAATAAACACAATCAGAAATAAAAAAAATCAAATCACAACTGACCCCAAAGAAATACAAAAGATTATCAGAGATTACTATGCACACCTATATGGAAACAAACTTGATAACCTAAATGAAATGGTGGACATTCTGACATCATACGACCTCCCCAGGTTGAAACAAGAAGACATTGAGACACCAAATAGACCAATAACAACACAGGAAATTGACTCTGACATAAGAAAACTACCTACCAAAAAAAGCCCTGGACTGGATGGTTTTCCAGCAGACTTCTACAAAACGTACAAGGAGGAGCTGATACCAATCCTACTGAAAGTATTCCAGGCAATTGAGAAAGATGGAATTCTCCCCAAATCATTTTATGAAGCTAACATCACA